AGCCATCCTTAACGCTATAATGCTTGCAGTCGGGAGCACAGTTAGTACATAACAATATTCAAATGCCCCATGACAGAAAGAGGAAAAAGAAAACCTCTTTTCAGGAGCTGAGTATCATAAATGAAAGGCTGAGAAGGAAAAGGTCCAAGCAAAACAGCAGGGATCCTTCCTGAAATATCTTCTCATTAATCCAAATAAAGATGGAAGCAGTTCACAGCATCCAGATGAAGGAATTTTACTTGGAGAGGCGGTTAGCTCACATCCGCTTGGAAGCAGTTTGGAACATCAAGATGAAGGTATATTACTTCAAGATGAGGGTAGCTCACATCCGCAAAAAAGCAGTTTGGAAACTCAAGATGATGGAAACTTACTTCTAGATGAAGGCAGCTCACAGCATCAGACTGATATGGAAGTGGAGAAAATTTATTCACCTTCAGAGACACATGCAGAAATTGAAGTAAATGAAGTAGAAGGAAGAAAGGATGAGGAAGTTACAAACAAGTTACAATATGGGGACCCAGCTTCATGGCCCAGATGTGATGACAAGTGTGCGGCAAATTCTCGTGGAACATGGACCCGAACAAGTTCATGAATTTCCCTTCCCTAAGGATGGAAATAACAGAAAACTCTCTGCTCAGCATTACAAGAGGAAACTAATTAATGGGGAAGAAATTCATCGAAATTGGTTATAATATTCAGTTTCGAAGGACTCTGTGTTTTGCTTTTGCTGCAAGTTGTTTAGAAATCAAGCAATTGGTACATCACTTACTGAAAATGGTTCAAAGGACTGGAAAAACATATCTTCAATTCTCTCTTCTCATGAAAGAAGTACAGAACATTTGGGATGTTTTCAAAATTGGAAAGAACTTGAATTATGATTGAAAAAAGGAAAAACTATCGATGAAGAAAATTTACATGTGATCAAGGAAAAAGAAGAATATATTGGCAACAAATATTACAGCGTCTGATTGCTTCAGTGAGAGTTCTTGTGGGCAAAATTTAGCATTCCGCGGCCATGGTAGAAATGAAAATTTATACACTCCAAGTAATGGAAACTTTTTAAAATATGTTGAATACCTAGCTTTTTGATCCAGTCATGAAGGAGCATCTACGTAAAATAACTGATGATGAAACACAGGTTCATTACTGAGGAAAAAATATGCAGAATGAACTGATTCTGGACGAGACACACCCATTCTGGACGAGACACACCCATTCAGAACCCAAAACAAAGGTTCAAAGTGAATTTCTACTTTGCAGTCCTTGATACTGCTATTCACTTGGTTGACGAAAGATTTCAACAGATGCAGCAGCTAGAGTCAGTATTTGGCTTTCTATATGATATCCACAGCTTGCAAAAGAGAACAGCAAAACAGATAAGAGAATTTTGTATAAAGCTGGAGTTGGCGTTGACTCATGAAAATTCAAAAGACATTGATGCTACAGATTTGTGTAGTGAGCTTCAGGCTTTTTCCAGACGACTTAAGAAACATTCCTCTCCTGAAGAAGTACTGAAGTTTGTTTGTGAAAATAAGACAATTTTCCAAACATTTTTATAGCTCTATGCATTCTTTTAACTTTGCCAGTTTCCGTAGCTAGTGGGGAACGTAGCTTCTCAAAGTTAAAATTGATAAAAACATATCTGCGTTCAACAATGGTGAAAGAGAGACTTGTTGGACTTGCCACGATGTCAATACAGCATGAAATAGCCTGAAAACTGGATCTAAAAGAACTAGTGACTGAATTTTCAAAAGTTAAAGCAAGAAAAGTCACGTTTTAAGAGCACAGAGTGTTTTTTATTCGGAGTGTTTTGTAAATACAGGTTAAAGTTCATTGAAGAGTTTTCTTATTTCTTTCTATATTGGATGTGGTGGTAATGGCAGTTAAAGCAGGATAGCATAATGGATGATTTTGGATTTGTAATAATAAAATTATAATTAACATTTTTAATGCATTTTTATTTGAAATCGGACTGAAATATCATCGAGCTGTCATGTACAAATCTATTCTGAAAATTTCGTGTCTCTATTTTATCTGATTTCAGAAACATTGGTTGAACAGATGGACGGACAGACAAACTGAATAATTAAGCCTCTGTTTAAAAAAAAACACTTAAAAACATTAAAAGAAAAAAAAGAGGCAAAATGTTTCCCAGTTTACCAAAAATCTCAGCCTACATCTGCTCTTGGGGCTTGGGGGTGGGGGGCGTGGATTGCATGGTTCGCCGAGGGTGCCAGTTGCTGTCAGCTAGTCTAGGGCTGCCCCTGGTGGAGTACCCTTGAAAAGTCAAGTGGTGGATTTAATTGAAGCCAGTTTGTTAAGGATATGATACAAACCCCTATGAGCAGCAACTCCTGATGAAGCAATGCTGGAACAGAGTAGTTCGTTTTCATTAGGCTTTGAGGATACAACTAAATTCTGATGCATCAGACGTTCTCTCCCATTGAGAAGGTGCCGTGATCTGGTGAAAGGGCTCCACACAACACCCTCACTCATGGCTCAGAGCTGTTCTTTAATCACGTGAAGTTTCCCCTCAGTGCCAGGTGGATTCTGGGGCCAGGCAAACTCGTGTCACTGAATTTTGCAACACTTGGAAAAGGCAAAGTGCTGGGTAATATTACACTGCAAGGCTGAAAGATGAGCTGGAACTTAAATTTGATTGGCTTGAAATTCCGCTTCCAAGGCACAAATGAAACTATAATGGCAGGCAATCTGCTGCCCAGAGAGCTCTCACCTGGGCAAGCAGAGCCTTTGGGGAGGGAGAGTTCTTCTGTTCCTAGTGCACAGAGTCTGCCGCTCAGCTAGAAGTACTTGCTTTACTTACCTCCCTGCTCGGGAAACTGCGAGACTTAGGGTGAAGTCCTGGCTCCATTGACAGAGTTCACATTGACTTCAATGGAATCAGGATTTCATCCTTAATTCCTTACCATTTGTAAAGTGCTTTGAGAGCTTGGGGCGAAAGGGTCGAGAGATGACTTAAATGTCACAGTCACCCTTAAAGGGGAAATGGACATGGACTTATATGATGGAGAACATGGGGGAAGGATGTTCTTGTGAACTCAAACAATGATTGGAGAGCTTTGCAAAACCTCCAGGGTGAGGAGGAAGTTCCACTGTCTCTCCCTCAGTCCTGCAGGGTAATGCACAGTGACTAATGATTAGAAGTTGTATGCACCCAGCACAGTGTGCTGCACAGTGTCTCTATTCACTCTATTCAGATCATCCACTGTGCTTGAGCCAGGTGGAGGTGGCTTTAGGTCACCTTATGCACTCCCCCAATATATGGGCTGGGTGGGGGCTGGTCCAGGTCCCAGCACAGAATACAGCAGCCTCTGGTATGCTCTAACTTATGCCAGGCCACTCCCAGCTCCTTTGCGGCAGCCAAGGCTTGCTGAGGTGTAGGAATGCTCACCCATGCCTCCTTTCTGCTAGAAATGCCCCCTGCAACAAGATACAGGAGATGAGGATGATTTAGAGTATTCTCTGACAGTTCTGCTCCATTGGAGGGTTCCCCAATGCCTCAGGGGGACAGATCGTCAGGCTTGATGGCTGCTTTGCACTGGAGGAGGGCTGAGGATCTGACTCACCATGACTCACTAGCCGAGTAGATGCAATGAGATGTGGACTGGATACGAAGGAGGGATGTCCAACGATTAGCGGAGGAGACTGGGATTCAGCACTCTTGGGTGCTGTCACTGCCTTGCTGTGTGATCTAGGGCAAACCACTTCACCTCTCCATGCCTTGGTTTACCCAGCTGTAAAAAATATTGGGACAATAATAGTGACCATACTGAGTTGTTGAGAGGCAAAATCACTTGAAATTAGTCAAGCGCTGTCAGACACTAGGTTGAAAGGTGCTACAGAAGCACTGAGCATTAGCTAGCAAAGTGTTAATAAAAGGTCTTCTGCAGAAAATAACTTACCATTCACCATAGGAAATTTGCCCTAGAAAATCCAAAGTTGTATGTGTGGCATACATGGCTTCTGCCTTTCTGCAGCTGGGTTTTATCAGGTACAGTTCCATCCTGAGAACATGTTGAGCTTCTCCAGAAAACTGCAGGAATGTGCAATGGCCAGGAAACCCCACTAAACCTTGGCCTCTGTTTTGGATTCCCTCCAGGTGAGAAGAAAGTCCCAGCTGCCACTTCAGGAGCTGTTTGTTGAAAGCCTGTCAGGGATGGTCTAGATAACATTTAGTGCTGCCATGAGGGCAGGGGACTGGAATAGATGACCTCTCAAGGTCCCTCCCAGTCTTACGATTCTACAATTCAAAGGAATCCAGCATGGTGGCAGCATGAGGAGCATGCAGCAGGAATATAATTTGGGGGAAAGTCGGAGTACTCACTCAAGGTCCACCCACAAACCAAGCTCCACCCACTTGAGATACCAAAATGAAATGCCACTGAAAGCAGATCTTTACAAAATCATCTCTCAGCACTGGCTCAGGGGTAAAATAGTTAATAATGTTTGTATTTAATGTTTTGCCATTAGACTTCAGAGTGAACTAGTCCATTGAGGTGAATGAGGCAGAGCTATTGTTTCAGGCTCTCTGCAGGCTCAGGCAGACATCACTGACATAGTTACACTCAGGTCTTCTGTTTGGAGTTTTCTTTCCAACCACAAGCACTACAGAGTAATTGTTTTAAATGGAAGTTGAGATTCTAAAGCACAAGGTAATAGCCTCCAGACAAAAAAAGCAGTTTGCCAATCTGCCCTGACCCTGGCCCCTTACAACCGCTGGTGAGCAAGACTCCTCATGCCCCATGAGGCAAGATCTTATGGGACACTACTTGACTAGAGGATGTAGTGTATGTCAGCTTACTGGCTGGCACAAAGCTGCCATGGCACCTCCATTTGAGAGAACTAATGAGAATGGGACAATGTGGCCCGAAAATGAACTGGGAGGGGCAGGCAGTGGCCTTCAGTTGATACCCGCTGAAAGGTTTCCCCCTTGCTTTTACCAATCAGACTGATTCTTCCTCTCTCCTTTTTTTCTACAGGTAAGAAAAATTCCATCCTGCTACATAAAGTCCAGCACGACCTCAACTCTGGTGTCTTCAACTATCAAGAGAACGAGATCATCCAGCAGATTGTGCAGCACGACAGAGAGATGGCGCACTGCGCTCACAATGTCCAGGCTGCCGCAGCAGCAGCTTCCACACCAACCCCCGTCATTTGGACTCCACTGATCCAGGCGCCCTTGCAAGCTGCAGCAGCCACCACTTCAGTAGCAATAGCTCTGACCCACCACCCGCGCCTCCCGACTGCTATATTCCGTCCTCCAGTATCTGTTTTGGGGTCTTTGGGGCAGCCGTCCAGCCAGACGCCGAGACAACTGAAAAGGCTTCAGTCTATTATACCATCAGCTGGTCCTTCTGCAGTAGGTTCTCCATCCAGCACGCCATCCCAGCTGCACACTCCAGGAGCTGAAACCCCTTCATCATCTTCCTTCCAAATCCAGCAGCTGGCAGGATTCACAGCCTCTGCTGGCTTAGGCCAGTTCCATCAGGCCTCAGTTGGATCTCCTTCCCCTGGCTCAAGCCAACAGTGCTTGGGTGGCACATCATCAGCAGGATTGAACCAGTTTCAACAGGCGCCTTCAGGGTCTCCTTTAGGGGCAGTTCAGCAGCAGCCACTTTCCAGCAACACTCTGCCTAGTGGGTTTGGCCACTTCCAGCAGGCCACCACTAGCTCTCCACCTACTTCCTTCACCCAGCTCTCATCAAACTCACCTAGCAATCTTCTCAACCAATTCCAGCCCACCCCCAGACCACCGCAGGTGGGACAGTTACAGCCCCTCACGGGAAGTGGAACTTTGGGAGGAATGAACCACTTTCAACCCCCTCCTTCTTCCAGTTCTCCATCCTCTAGCTTAAGCCAGCTGGCACAAGCCTCTGGAGGCTCCCTTTCAGGGCTGTGCCAAATACAACCAAGTGCATTAGGTTCTGCAACTGGGACGATAGGCCAGCTGCACCAGGAAAGGTCACCTTTTGCCTCCATGTCTCCATTGCAGCAGCCTGGTGTAGCCTCCCCTTGTTACACCCCTTCTGGCCTTAGTCCTCCTAGTCAGAGCCCAGAGGCCACAAGAACTTTCCAATGTGGCCCTTCCAGGGCCTCTGGCTCTCATGGATCTCTGCTCATGCCTCAGACCTCCAGCCCACCTCCACTGGTCCTTCAACCCAAGAGCTCTCCACATTTGCCACCAAGACGCCTGAGCCAGGACATCAGGTTGATTTCTGCTTCCCAGCCATCTTTGCCCCAAGAATTGTCTCAGACTCTGAGCCAAAGTTCTCCTCTTTCCTCTAGAGAGTCTGTTCTGAGCTTCTTTCCTTTCTCTGGGGGAGGGTCTGGACTTCTCAGAAAGCCGTGTAGCTCTATTCCCGGACGCATGACTTTGCCACGTCAGATGTCCTCAGGTTCTCTGCCACACCCGCTAGTGTTTGGAGCCAGTGCTGTCGTTGCTCCCTCTCTGACTGCTGGTGGGAGGAAAGAATCTGTTGTGCTCCCCGGGGAGCTAGAACCTGTCAGATCCAAACTGCCCTCCAATTTATGAGGATCTCTTCTCAAAGCCGTTTCTGCCACTCCTGCAATTCAGTTCCTGATCAGACTTTCACAAGTCATTGCTTTCCTTTTTCTTTCTTTCTTTGCCTTTCTTTCTTTAGGTTTGACTGTGATTAGCGATAAACAAAAAGAAGATAACCAGGTATTCTTAGAGCTATAGATTTTTGGTCACTTGATTTTATAGAATATTTTAATACGTGGAGCAAAAGAAAATGAGGAGATTTAATCTACTGAGGTAATACACAGATACAATGTGTGCCTGAGCTGGAACTTGTGAATGATCAGCCATAGAGCCACCAAAAGGTTTTCCTGTTGAGACACAGATCCCAGGTTGACATGGGCAGAAGAAGGAACACTGGGCCAGGTCCATAGCTGGTGTATTTTGGAACAGCTCCATTTGAAGAGCTGTGTTGATTTGCACCAGCTGGAGATCTGGCCTATAGTGTCTAGATTTTGAGGTCCTGAGCAGTTTGCTGTGTGCATTGGAAGGTTCTGATTCCCCCATGGTTTTCTCCTGTCCTGAGTGGATTGCAGAGGAAGTGGTGGAGGGTCAGTATTGCTAATGCAGTTCCCTGTAGGGATTAGAATCACAAGGGCAGGAGGGTTGCTTTTCCTTTTCTTGGACTCCTTCTGGACAAGGTGAAGCATCTGGTGACCTGGCTATGGAAGGACCCTCACTTCCCTCAGCATTCTTCCCACCCCACTGATGTGTTAGTGGGAGCAAAAGCCAGTCGCAGGTCCATTATGGTAGGGAGGGGCTACGTCCCCTCTGTATTCCTAAAGGGATAGGGGACAGGGGAGGTGTGAGTCTCATCTCACTGGTCACTGTTGTGCTTTGCCAGCTGATCAGCAGCATGGCTGCTGCCTCACAACTAGCACCATGCTCAGAGGCCTGTTGCTGATTTTGCATTCCAGCTGAAGGAAGTCAAAGTAAGTGGTAGGAAGAGGATGGTTCATTCACCTCACCTCCCTCAGTGTTAGCCTCTCAGCTTCTGGGGGCCTCTGCTTTGAACCACAAGAGAACAGGTTCAGATGATGTTGAAAGGAAGAGGCCAGCTAGTTCCCATCCTGCCACTCCTATGTTCAGAGAAACCCAATGGTGTGGCACAGAGTGTCATCCTGGTGCTCTGCTGGAGCCTGAGGGAGCCACCTGATTTGCACCTAAATTAATATAATGTAAAATGTGTGTATTAAATGCTGCCAGCCATGGCCTATGCTTCTCCTCTGCCAGAGGAACAGAAATCATTTGCTTGACTTCACCAGCAATAATAACCTGCAGTTGATTGGCTGTGGCTCCACTCTGCAGTGACAGCACCATCAGACATAGCCAGATCCAGCGGGCTTCTTGGGCTACATCTTGGGTTCCTGGCATAAGACAATCCAAGTGGGGACAGGACAATAACGAGAATCCTAGAGAGGTTTCAGCCATTGGATGTGCAGAGCGCTGAGCTGCTGCAGCCTTTACCTCTAGAGCAAATATCTCCTCTTGCTTTGCTTGTTTTTTTCTTAGACCAACAGGTGTCTCTGGTCACCTCACTGTAAAGAGCCGAGCACTCGCCTTTTTTCTATCACATGGTCCCATGTGCCCCTTCTTCCTATGCCCTCTGATATCATAGATTCCTTCCAGTGCTCCCACGAAAGCAGGCCCTCCTGCCACAGTGCCAGAACAACAGAAACAATCAGAGTAATAGCAATCCTCCTGTCTCTCCCCAGCCCCTAAAAAACTGGCTGGCTGCTGGTTTTATACCAAATCCTTTGCAAAACTCTGACATGGGCCTGTGTCTCCAAAAGTTGCTGCAAGTGTAACTGGGCACTCTTGGTTCAAGGTGCTTTGGTGGCTCACAATTAAGATGTAATCAGCTTTGGTCTTCCTTAAAGGGTCAAGGGTATGCTAGAAATATTTTCTACTAACTAAATACAGCTATATATGTGTGTGTACATAGGTGTATATGTATATAGATACAATATACACAGCTATACACGCACACACACACATATATATATATCTTCTAGTTTTAAAATACATGTCAGTTTTGACCCTCCTATAGTAGCAATTTGCAGGTGATGCCTATAGAGTATATACCTTGCTTTCCAAAATGTGTATAGGATTATCCGCCCAGCTTCAGCTAAAGGCCCATTTGAAAACAGAAACCACTGACAGAGGGGGAAACTGACCAACAACCCCTTCCCCCCTACCCGCTCAAGGATACAAGATGATTCCTAGAAGGAAGCTTTGGGAGATCTTTTTTAAAAATTTCCCCCTGTTGCCACATGCTGGACAGACCACACTGAGCATCTTGAGAAAGTGGGACCTGAGGAGATGGCTGGGGTCAGAGAAGGTAAGGAGTGGGTGGGAAAGATCTCCTTGAGACCAACAACACCAAGCCTTTGTGGATAAACATGCTGCGACTGCTGTGTAAGCACTTGAATTTCGAATGAGACCCACGGATGCTCAGACACACAGAGCTGCACAGACACACCTGCTGGGCTGTCACTGGTGGATTTGTGTTCCTCCCCGCATTTGGTGGACAGGCTTCATTCGGGTGGGTGCCTTGGTTTTGATTTTCTAGGGGACATTATTTGATTTCTGATTCTTAGCGGTGCAATAGCTAATACTGAGTTACTCCTACTGGACTTCAGTCAATACTAGGCTTTTCACAATATTTTTTTGTGAGGGAGGGAAGAGTTGTAGGGGAAGGGTTTGGAATACAAAACAGACACAATAAAAAAAAAACTTAGTAAATAAAAAAGACCCTCTGTCTTGGTATCTGTTTACTTTAACCCACAGGAGAAGGTAAACAACAGATTGTATGGTCTCTCATTTCAGGTAATCTATTTCCTACTAGTCCTGCTTGGGGACACTGGGGGACTTGGCATTTCCCTGCCTGTCTGTACCCCTATCTGTCTGTATTTTCCTAACCGTCCATGTGATTTTGAAGGGGCTTCCTTTTTTCTAGGAAAATAAAAATAAATTACTGGAAAACACCAACAAGCACAGAAAAGGAAGGGCTCTGTGCTTTTAAACCGACAAGAGGAAACATGATAGCTGCTTATAGGGATTCGTATTTGTGTTACTGGAGAGCTGGGACACCCCAGCTGAGTTTGAAGCCCATACAAGCACATAGTGAGAAGCACTCCTTGCTGCCAAGAGTTTATGCTCTGCATAAAAACCAGAGAAAAGTCGGGAGAAAGGAAATATTGAATCCCCATTTTCACGACTGGGCAATGCTGAAATGTACACATGGCACACGTTTTGAGGATGAATTTGTCCTCCAGAATCTAAATTTCATTTCTTTAAAAAAAGGAAGTTCTCCCTTGAGTCTTTGTGTGTGTGGATCCCACTCTAGGTGTTCATGCATCTCATGCAGGTGAGATTGGGTTCTTGAGCCAGCAGTTTCTACTGGAGCCACACCTGCATGTCCTCATGCCCCCCAACCAAGGGTACACAGAAGCCCACCCACCTCTTAGTTCCCTCTTACTGCCTGTGGCAGCGAGGTGGAGCTCAGCTGTGTCCACCTGCTACCTCACAGCACCTTTTACCCAATCCTTTTGTAAAGCTCAGTTCAGTGAGCTATTTCTGCCTTATTGGCAGCCCCTTCTTTGTTTTCATTCTCTAAAATCTGTCATTTCTTCTGGCTATTAGTCAATGCCTTCCTGCTTAAAGACTGAGCCTCAATCCTCTAGCTTTAAACCATGCCCATTGTGCGAAGGACGCATCTCTCTAATCCATGGGCACAGTCAGTGTCTGTTCTGTTTGGGCAAGTGCCACATAGAATCATAGAATCATAGAATATCAGGGTTGGAAGGGACCCCAGAAGGTCATCTAGTCCAACCCCCTGCTCGAAGCAGGACCAATTCCCAGTTAAATCATCCCAGCCAGGGCTTTGTCAAGCCTGACCTTAAAAACCTCTAAGGAAGGAGATTCTACCACCTCCCTAGGTAACGCATTCCAGTGTTTAACCACCCTCATAGTGAAAAAGTTTTTCCTAATATCCAATCTAAACCTCCCCCACTGCAACTTGAGACCATTACTCCTCGTTCTGTCATCTGTTACCATTGAGAACAGTCTAGAGCCATCCTCTTTGGAACCCCCTTTCAGGTAGTTGAAAGCAGCTATCAAATCCCCCCTCATTCTTCTCTTCTGCAGACTAAACAATCCCAGCTCCCTCAGCCTCTCCTCATAAGTCATGTGTTCCAGACCCCTAATCATTTTTGTTGCCCTTCGCTGGACTCTCTCCAATTTATCCACATCCTTCTTGTAGTGTGGGGCCCAAAACTGGACACAGTACTCCAGATGAGGCCTCACCAATGTCGAATAGAGGGGAACGATCACGTCCCTCGATCTGCTCGCTATGCCCCTACTTATACATCCCAAAATGCCATTGGCCTTCTTGGCAACAAGGGCACACTGCTGACTCATATCCAGCTTCTCATCCACTGTCACCTCTAGGTCCTTTTCCGCAGAACTGCTGCCTAGCCATTCGGCCCCTAGTCTGTAGCGGTGCATTGGATTCTTCCATCCTAAGTGCAGGACCCTGCACTTATCCTTGTTGAACCTCATCAGATTTCTTTTGGCCCAATCCTCCAAGTTGTCTAGGTCCTTCTGTATCCTATCCCTCCCCTCCAGCGTATCTACCACTCCTCCCAGTTTAGTATCATCCACAAATTTGCTGAGAGTGCAATCCACACCATCCTCCAGATCATTTATGAAGATATTGAACAAAACCGGCCCCAGGACCGACCCCTGGGGCACTCCACTTGACACCGGCTGCCAACTAGACATCCGGGACTGTTGCTCATTGTTCTGGTCCTTCTTCACTCCACTTGCTACTCCAGAGATACTTGGCTAAAGCTCCACCTACTAGAGCAGACAATGAGGGGAAAGAAAGGTTTTGGAAAGACATTCCTCTGACATCAAAAGGGACTCTTCTCCCAGCAATCCCTCTCATTAACTGCCCTTATAAGCAGGAACTCTACCCTGCAGGCTCCTGGTTCCAGTCTGAAACCCACTCAGTCAGCTGTCCTTAGGCCTCCAAACTGGCTAGGAGATGAGCTGGTCAGAAAACTTTAGACTGGCGTTCCATCAGAAAATGCAGGTCCATCAAAGTTTAAATGATTAATGAATTTGTGTCAATTTTGCCAAAATTTTGTTTGGGGGGGCGGGATTTCTGACAATGTAGAACATCCCATTTTGACATATTTTGGAACAAAAAGTTCCAGTTTTCTTTTGAGAATGACTTCATTTCAAATTGTTTAATGTTTTGAATTACAGTCTTTGTTATAACATACAGTTTTAAAAAGTCAAAATCGAAACAAACCATTTTGAACAATCCAAAATTAAAGGGAAGGGTTTTTATTCTCGCTGCTTCTTTATCCCCCGAAAAAAAGGGTAAATACTGTGATGGGATCCCTGGGGTGCAGCCTGGGACTGTGGGACCACTGTGCCGCCTTAACTCTCCAGCCTGGGCTGTGTCTCACAATGCTTTGCTAGTGACAAGCAGCAAACCCCTCTAGGTGCTATTATGACTCAGAAAAACAGCATGTGGAGCCCCACACCCAGATAGATTGCATGAATGCTCCCAGAGCCACATGAATCACACAGAAAAAAGGCACCAGCCAAATCCCCCCACCCCCGAGCCTTGTACCTCAGGAATATACTGTCTTGCATTGCTCAAGATGAGCAGTGCAAATTTATTAATTTGTTCACCACTTCATCAATGGAAAGTGGATATACACCAGCCTTTATAAACCGGAGCAAGCACCCTTACCAAACACTTCAGGCAAATTCACTGGTAAAGATAAACAGTTAAATAAATTTATTAATTACAAAAGATAGATGTCAAGTGATTATAAATGATATG